TGGTTGTTGGTGGTCGTTGTTGTTGCTAGTTCTGGTAATGGTTGTTGGTGGTCGTTGTTGTTGCTGGTGCTGGTAATGGTTGTTTGTGGTCGTTGTTGTTGCTGGTACTGGTAATGGTTGTTGGTGGTCGTTGTTGTTGCTGGTACTGGTAATGGTTGTTGGTGGTCGTTGTTGTTGCTGGTTCTGGTAATGGTTGTTGGTGGTCGTTGTTGTTGCTGGTCTGGTAATGGTTGTTGGTGGTCGTTGTTGTTGCTGGTACTAGTAATGGTTGTTGGTGGTCGTTGTTGTTGCTGGTTCTGGTAATGGTTGTTGGTGGTCGTTGTTGTTGCTGGTACTGTAATGGTTGTTGGTGGTCGTTGTTGTTGCTGGTACTAGTAATGGTTGTTGGTGGTCGTTGTTTGTTGCTGGTACAGGTAATGGTTGTTGGTGGTCGTTGTTGTTGCTGGTACTGTAATGGTTGTATGGTGGTCGTTGTTGTTGCTGGTACTGGTAATGGTTGTTTGTGGTCGTTGTTGTTGCTGGTTCTGGAATGGTTGTTGGTGGTCGTTGTTGTTGCTGGTACTGGTAATGGTTGTTGGTGGTCGTTGTTGTTGCTGGTACTGGTAATGGTTGTTGGTGGTCGTTGTTGTTGCTGGTACTGGTAATGGTTGTTGTGGTCGTTGCTAGTTGCTGGTACTAGTAATGGTTGTTGTTGCGGTACTGGTAATGGTTGTGTGGTCGTTGTTGTTGCTGGTTCTGGTAATGGTTGTTGGTGGTCGTTGCTGTTGCTGGTACTAGTAATGGTTGTTGTTGCTGGTACTGGTAATGGTTGTTGGTGGTCGTTGTTGTTGCTGGTTCTGGTAATAGTTGTTGGTGGTCGTTGTTGTTGCTGGTACTGGTAATGGTTATTGGTGGTCGTTGTAGTTGCTGGTTCTGGTAATGGTTGTTGGTGGTCGTTGTTGTTGCTGGTTCTGGTAATGGTTGTTGGTGGTCGTTGTTGTTGCTGGTTCTGGTAATGGTTGTTGGTGGCCGTTGTTGTTGCTGTACTGGTAATGGTTGTTGGTGTCGTTGTTGTTGCTGGTTTCTGGTAATGGTTGTTGGTGGTCGTTGTTGTTGCTTGTTCTGGTAATGGTTGTTTGGTGGTCGTTGTGTTGCTTGTTCTGGTAATGGTTGTTGTGGTCGTTGTTGTTGCTTGTTCTGGTAATGGTTGTTGGTGGTCGTTGTTGTTGCTGGTTCTGGTAATGGTTGTTGTGGGTCGTCGTTGTTGCTGGTACTGGTAATGGTTGTTGGTGGTCGTTGTTGTTGCTGGTACTGGTAATGGTTGTTGTGGTCGTTGCTGTTGCTGGTACTAGTAATGGTTGTTGTTGCTGGTACTGGTAATGGTTGTTGGTGGTCGTTGTTGTTGCTGGTTCTGGTAATGGTTGTTGGTGGTCGTTGCTGTTGCTGGTACTAGTAATGTTGTTGTTGCTAGGACTGGTAATGGTTGTTGGTGGTCGTTGTTGTTGCTGGTTCTGGTAATAGTTGTTGGTGGTCGTTGTTGTTGCTGGTACTGGTAATGGTTATTGGTGGTCGTTGTAGTTGTGGTTCTGGTAA